ATTTTTTTTTTTTTTTTTTTTTTTTTTTATCAAGGGAAAGTAAGACCTTCATACAAGTGGCTTATGACATTTGTGTTCATACAAGCCACAGGTTGAGTGCTTAGCAAAACAGGCTGAGCCAGAAACTGGCTGAGAGACCCAGTCTTCTCCATCTCCCTTTTCCTAGAGTGCATGATGGCTCCATTCACCAAGAATGACATCTACCCAGTTGCCTCCACTCCAAAGGGGCATGAGAGACTAGAACTCTTACTTATCCTCACTGTTTGGGAGGAGGCAGCAGGATTTCATCTAAACTAAGGGAAAACCACAACAAGTCCTCCTTTTCTATCTCGAGACAGAAGTCAGATGTGAAGCAGGAAGTCTCTCCTCTGTAACTTGCAGCAGAAACTCTGACAACAGGATTCCTTTGTGGAGAGGGAGACATCTGAAATGTAGTGCATGGTGTAGAAAAATGCATGTTATGTTGCTACATCCACCACATTCTCAGTCTCTTTTGTTCATTTCCCCCAAGCATAAGGGAGACAAGGGCTGCTTTCTATTTTAGATTTCTTTTCATGCTCCTAGACTATCCAAAGATGGTTGGGTGAAGGACACTATGACTGTGAGCAAACCAAAAAAATTGGATGTTGCTCTTTTTTCATTTTTCATTGCTCCATTTAGCCCTGTACAACATTATTTGATGGTCTCTTCCCTCTTATTTGTATGGTTCTTTATACCTGTTCCTCCCATAAATCGATGATGATGATGATAAACTCCAATTCTAGTCTTACCTTACAAATGTTTTTTCTGTCCCCCTCTTCCTTTCTTTCACCTCGTAGTTCCCCTGTCTCTGTGAACCTTCCAGTTTCTTGCCCAAAGCTGACCATGGAATTACAGGTATGCTTCACATTAGGTGCATCTACATAAGACACTTGATGTGGAGTTGCCTGATTAGCTCTGTAGTAGTCTGAGTGGCTGTGGCTCCATAAGACAATGCCCACTGGACTAATTCTGTGCGTTAGCACATTAGCATCATTTTTTGCCAGCCACGCTAATGTGAAGTAGAATGGTTCAATGAGCATTAAGCATCACAAAAAAGCATTTGTTTATGCTAATGCACAGTCGACTTAGTCCAATAGTGGTGCTATTAGGCTGGAGTAAACTAATTCATTCAATTTACTCTGTCACAACATGGAGTTGGCCAGGTCACAAGAGTGCTTCAGTGCAGGGGCTGCCAGCTAGCCCTGCTCATGAGTACCCTTGTGCCCCAACCAGCCCCTCTGTAGCAGGTTGATCCAGGGCAGAGCAGCCCCTGGCTGACTCCCTGGGCTCACTGCCAGCTGGAGCTGCTCTGCCTCAGCTCAACATGTAAACATGGCACTTGGGAGCAATCAATTGTGGTGCAAACAGTATGGAGTTTATTCAATCACATTAGTTACACATGTAGATGCGCCCACTGAGTTCTAGCCTAATACTGTTTCTTTGCTGCTCAGGTAGGCTGTGCCTCAAAGATAGCTGGGAACAAATGGGACTTCCTCACCTGTACTAGCCAGCTGATGAGCTGCTGGCAGATATTTGTGAAGCAAACCCCGGTAGTGCTACTAAGAGACACAAACACACCTTAGAAATGGAAGGGACCAGTGACAACTGGGAGAAAGAAATGTTTTATTGAAATCAAGCCAGATTTCTACGGATATATGGACTGTAAGGGAGAATGTTTGGCAGCAAGGTCTTTCTGAGAGGAATGGGGATCTGTGCCCTACAACTAACAAAGGACTTAATGTTACACTCAACCTGTATTAAAGGTTGCCCTAAAATGAGGAGCAATGGCTACATCAGCTATAGGTTTCACAGGTAGCGCTCATTAAATAAGACTCTCCCATGGATAATCTTCACAAAAAATATAAATAAATAAAAATTTAAAAAATCCTTAGTCTATATTTTCCACTGAAACTATTGTGATTTTTGGCTGAAATTCAAAGATATAAATATTTGTTATTATTTCTCTTTTTAGCAAAACAAAATGTCAGAAATATTTTTTACATTTCAAATGGTTAGAAGCTAATTCCTTCTATGTTTACTTTCAAAGACCAGAGTTCAGCTCTTTGTAACAGCTGACATCACACAACCATTTAAAACCAGTACTGGGAAGGATGCTTTATGAAGTGTGAATTGTCATTTGTTACCGCAAGGCAAATACAATTACCTGGACTTAGGGTCTGGCATGTAAGCACTAGAGGGAGCTTTCCAAACAGTTTGGATTTAAAAATTGTTTGCAAAAGTGAGTGGATGGAGTGACTGAGCAGGGATCTTAGATTTCTTTTAAAGGGTAGTGCAGACAATGAGCTTTTGTTCTGATTTGGGTTTTTAAGTTAGAAAGTGTTGTGTGCCATCCCCGCCCAGCTGCTATCAAATAATTATTGCTTTCAATTTAAAAGGCAAAGCAAGGTAGAAATGTTGAGCATACTAATTGGTACCCAGTTCTCTCTGCTTCTTACCCCATCCTGAAGTTAGATGTTTTTCATTTTTTATTCAGTGTGATACAAAAAATTAAGTCCAAATAAAATGGATCTTATGAAACAAGACTTAATCCTCTCCATCAAATCTCATTGCTCACTCTACTTATGAAACAGTCCTATAGCATTTATGGGATGAAACAAACAGTATTTAATGGAAGACAACAGGGAATTTTCTAAATAAGCCTGTTGCATTTTAAAGGAACTCATTCACTTTCAGAAGAGTCTAAGGTGACCTCATTGTTGAAGGTGCCACCCTGCCTTGCCTTCTACCTGACTTCAGACTAACATGGCTAAGTATCTCTCTCTAACTTTCAGAGGAGTTACTGAGTTGCTCTCGAGACTCCTGTGCTGAGGACACCACTACATTCTATGGGATGAGCCACAATATGGAAATGTGTTTCAGTTAATTTCTGTAAGACTCATCTTAAGCATTGTTGCACCCTATCTGTAGACTGTTTAATATGAGCACAAATTGCTCGTACTATTGAAGTGCCAAGCAACCAGTTGGCTTCTGTATAAATAACAAGATCATTTTAAATTAGAAGGGACAGTCTTTTTCAAGTTAGGATGGAAATACTCTTCCTTTTTAGGCAGTCATATAATCACACCACTTTTCCCCTTTCCCCTCTCTTGAGTTTGCCACCCATCATGGATATATAGAGGCAAGTGCTCCTTTGGTGTTGCCTATCATTTGCTTGCTACATTGTACAAGTGTTGAGCAACACTGTAGTCCACATCATCTCTGAGGACCTACAACAGCTGGGTACTGAAAACCAGTTCTGGTTCTGTCCCATTCCCTAGCCTGTGGATAACTAGGAGGGAGCACATGGAGAAGCACATGAAATTTCTAAATCAGTCAGAAAGTGATGGAGATGGGGCCGCAAAAATAGTTCAATGCTTACATCATGTCCAGCAGGGATTGTAAAGCATCTTTATGAGGTCTCCTGTGATTTTTTTTGCAGGGTGGGCTCGCCTTGCGGTGGTTATTTTCACAAATACTCTAAGAATCAAGGTTGCAGCCTTGCTTGGGTCAGGGCCAGATTTTTACCAAGCCCAGTAGTGGGAATGTTGTGAAGGCATTTGACTCCGCTGTCACATAGATAAGGCACAGTGAATGGGATCTATCTGCTACTGAATAATAGATAGTTAGTAAACCTCTGGGTCTCATGAACAAAGCCAGGGCCTTCCCAGCTTGCCAAACAGATTTTCAGGGAATTCTTTAGCTCTGCCTGCCAGTGGGTGAGATGAGGTGGTGGGGACATAAATGAGCGTATCAACACTCCCACCCAATGCAGCTGCAGTCACTGATTCCTCATGACCTAGTACATGAATGAATGGAAAGTTTGAGGTTCTGTGTGACATACTAATGTAACTGTTACAGCCACTAGCTCATAAAGACAAATTACA